AAAGTTTGGACATGGCACGATGCCCAACAGCGAATGCTGGCCAACATCGACGGCCCTTTTCAGAAGAATGCTAGACAACATCTACATGGGGCGGAATGTGATCCGGGATAACCCGATTTAAGTGCAGTCCGTGGCAACTCTGCCCTGATGACTCGTGCCTCTCAGACATGGCCCGCCATAAGACGAAGCCAGGACAATGACAACATCGGACATAAATACATCGGGGACCTCTGAGGTCTGGCGGTTCCGGAAAATGTATCGGGCGCCGCGGCCGTTCCAAAGCGTTCCGGAACGCTCTGATCGAGTTTCGCAACGCTCTGGAGCGACTTATGCTTGTCCTCCCTGAGATCCGACGTTGCAAACACATGGCGACTTCGCGAAACACCAAAAAACTGGGGCGCCCTAGACTTCCCTGTTTCTGCGCCATCTTCGGAGCCAGACCGATCTGCCAGGGCCTGGGGCCCGAAACGGGGCGACAACGCCCGCCCCGAAATGTCGAGACGCGATGATCTCAAGACTGGCCCCGCCCGACGCCCCCGCGGCTGACCAGGAGGAGGAGGAGGAGGAGGAGGAGGAGGAGGACGAGGAGGAGGAGGAGGAGGAGGAGGAGGAGGAGGAGGAGGAGGAGGAGGGGGAGGAGGAGGAGGAGGAGGAGGAGGAGGAGGAGGAGGAGGAGGAGGAGGAGGAGGAGGAGGACGAGAAGGAGGAAGAGGAGGAGGAGGAGCGAGGAAGAGCGGAGGAGGCTTCCGCGAGGGAGCTCCCGGCGCCCGCCTGGGCGCGCAGGGCCGCCACGGCCGCCTGGGCCTCAGCGTCCGCCGCGACCTCCACGGAGGCAGGGCCGCCGCGGCCGCTGCCGCCCGTCGTCGCCACCGCCTCCAACTCTGGAGGTCGTCGTCGTCGTCGTCGTCGTCTTGCTCGTAGTCGTTTCAATCGTCGTCGTTGTCGTCTTCGTCGTCGTCGTCGGTTTTGTCCTGGTCGTCGTGTTAGACGTCGTCGTCGTCGTCGTTCGTCGTCGTCGTCGTCGTCGTCGTCGTCGTCGTCGTCGTCGTCGTCGTCGTCGTCGGCCGTCGTCGTCGTCGTCGTCGTCGTCGTCGTCGTCGTCTAATCGCCGCGCCGCCGCCCATCGTCGCCACCGCCTCCGACTCTGGAGGGCAGGAAATAGAGGCCTCCTAAATGGGGTCCGAGTCGCTGGGGTCAAAGGCTCGCGTCGCGTCGCCAATGCATCGGCGATGCCTCGGCGACGTCGGCGATGCATCGGCGACGCCAGCGTGGAGAGACTCGGGCTCCACATTGAGCCGCATCGCCGATGCATCGACGATGCGGCGCGATCCTCCGACCCCATCTGCTCGGACCCCATCTAGGAGGCCTAGGCCTCCGTCGCCACCGCACCCAACTCTGGAGGGCAAGAGAACGACGTGGCGGCGTGCTCGGGGGGAAGCAAGGGGCGTGCGGGCCTTCTGCGAAGGCCCGCCCCTCTCGCCTCCCCCCCGCCCCCGCTCTCGCTGTCGATGGCAGGCAACACAGCGGTGACCACGATCGCGACTGTCACGAGGAAGATCCTGGAGGCTTCGCGCGGCAACCCGAGGCTTGGGTCGAGCGAAAGGGGGGGGATAGCAAAGGGGGGGGTTGAGAATCAGCTCACGTAGCTGATTTTCCCGGCGCCTCCCGGCGCCGGAGGCGGCTATGTATCGAGGAATGGGCCCGTCGGTGAGGCCGAAGCCAGCTGCATGCGGCAAATTTCGTACCCCCCCCTTTCCCAATCCCCCCCTTTCGTCCAGCCCGAGAGGCCCGAGGCACCTCGGATCCAAGTCGGCTTCGGACTTACCTCGGACCGCCTTCGGAGCATCGCCGCCCAAACGTCGCCCCGTATCTCTCTGACGGGGTGGGCGTGGGGACTGGGAAATGCAGCTCCTGGCCACTGAACCCAAGCGCCCTACTAGCATGAAGGGGAACTGGGACACACAAACGAATACACACACATAAAAATATCCCCCATATTTTCCCAGATTTTCTGGGTTTCTGTCTTCCCCCTCACTTCCCATATTTTCCTATATTTTCTGGGAATCGCCGATTAATTGTGTCTGTGTTTTTCCCTCCTGATAGCAGCAACGGTGAAGAGGCGGGCCGAGGAAAGGGAGGACAACACGGCCGGGAAGCCATGGAAAAACACATGCAGCTGGGACAAGGGTGAGGGCACGACCATGGACCATGTCCACCTCGTAGTGTCTGCGCTTTGTTACAATAGTGAAGGCGGACACGTCGGTGCGGATCTTGGTCTCCGTCCAACTTGGCCACCGCCAAGTTGTGGATCCTCATCGCGAATCGGTGGCAGCCGGCATGGACCCATGACCAAGATCGGCATCGACACGATCCCGCGACATCTTCGTCGTGGTCATCGTGCCTCTTCCCTCGAAGCTCGGCCACACGCACCAGGGTGACCCCGTCCCAGGGGTGACCGCTGGTTTGCCTCTGGGCAGGAGGGGGCTCGAGGTGTTCGGCTGTCTTCGGGCCCCCAGGGCTCGTGGAGGGCCCAGGACCGTCGGAGAGAATGGCTCGAGATGAAGACCTGGTCCTTGGGAAAGCCCCCACGGGTCCAGGACTCGTTTCCCTCGGGGCGGGGCCACGAATACGTCCACAGTACTGTTGATGTTTGCCCACACCTTGTTAGCAAACGGCGGCCCAAACGCAGTGCGTACATACATATCAAGCGTATATGAATATGTGTATAGGTACACATGTATCCATACATGTGCATGTGTGTGTATATTTGTATGCATGTATGCATGTCTGCATGTATATATGGATGTGTGTATCGACACACCTGTATACGTACACATACATACATACATACATACATGCATACATACATACATACATACATACATGCATGCATGCATGCATACATACATATATACATACAAGCATACATGAAGCCATACATACATGCATACATACATACATGCAAACACCCATACTTACACACATGCATCCATAAAAGGCATACATACATACATACATACATGCATGCATGCATGCATATATGCATACATGCATACATGCATTCATGCATACATGCATACATGCATACATGCATACATGCATACATACATACATGCATACATGCATACATGCATACATGCATACATGCATGCATGCATGCATGCATACATGCATACATGCATACATGCATACATGCATACATACATACATACATACATTACATACATACATACACACATACACACATACATGCATACACTAATACATACATGGATACATGCAATGTATGTACCGTTTCCTTTCTGCGAAGCTCAATTGGGCAGGGCCCATATACCTTAGTGTATATATATACATACATATATATATATATATATCAATCGATAAATACATAAATATACGAGGTGTCCCTCGGGGCCCATTTCCTTCATGCCTGTCTGTGCGCGGCGTGCCGATCATTGAATGCAGTGCGGCAGTGACGGCATACGTGCTTGCGCTTGCCCCCCCCCCCAAAGCCGCCCCCCCGAAAACAGCGCGTACAAATCAAATCCAGAAAGGGGCCACTGTTACGTGTAGCCGATCCTCAGGCATCGGGCGCCTCGAACGGATTCGACGCGGCTGGTTCGTGGTCAGGTCCGGCGGGCCTCCGGACCAGCAGAAAACGGCCCAGGGTGGAAAGCTGGCCCTGGGGAAGGTGTCGAGAAGTCTGGGAGCCCTCGCATCGAAACACTCCCAGCCCCAGATGTCTGCGTCAGTCGTCGCCGCAGCCGCCGCTTCAGGGTTCGCCGTCGCCGCCTCAGTCCTCACCGTCACCACCGTCGCCGTCTGAATCGTCGACCTCGTCGTCGTGTGGTCGTCGGTGGGAGGTGAGGGTTGTTGCGATGTATGCTGGGCACTTCTCGCTCGTTCCCGTCATGAAAGTTTTAATGTGGAGCCTCCCCGGATTGCCCGGCCAGTGCTGGGGGGCATTGTTGTTGTCAGCACCGATTCCGCCCGAGGGGCCCGCGCGTCGCGGCATTTTCAAGGTTGTGAGGTGGCCCGGCCCGTTTCGCGTGAGACATCCTCACAAGTCTGCGTTCGCAGACGACCAGATCTGAGGTGGTTCGGCCCGTTTCGCCTGAGACATTCTCGCGACTCTGAGTTCCCAGATGCCGCGCGAGAGGTGGTCCGGCCCATTTCGCCCGAAGCTTCCTCGCAACTCCAGATTTGGAGGTGCAGTGACGTGAGGCGGTGGGTGGGCGGGGGGGGGGGGGGGCACTGCTGCGCACAGTTGGACCGCCTTCTCGACATGCCGATCCGAGCAGACGCCGCCGTCCGATCCTCTCGGTGGCTGATTCGAAGGCCTCGCGCTCCTCCCCAGATCGGCGGGCCTTGACGCGCTTCCAATTCCAAGCCCGTTTCTGAGTGCCCGAAGCCGAGGAAGGCCTGCGCAGACCGACGTGGACCAGGGCTGCTCCTCTGTGACTTTCATGGCGGGGGTGCGATGCACCGCCCGGTGGGCGGGATCTCGCAGGAGAGGTGCTCCGCCACGGCGGGCGCCTGCGGGGGCCTCGCTGGCACTGCGGCGAACACCACTCTTGACGAACCAACAACACACACCCACACCCATAGGGGGGTCGGAGAGGGCGATGGGTACGTGTTGTCGGATGGGGTTCCCCGCTCGAACGGGAGCGTTCCCCAGGGTCCGACAGCCCGCACCCATACTCATGGCGAGTCCTCCTCCCAACGAGCGCCCCTATGGGTATGGGTGTGCGTTGTTCGTTCGTCAACTCTGAGCACTGGCGGAGTCAGAGGATCAGCACGGGGTGGCCAATCCAGCTCCCTTCGAGCAGGGACCGACCGTCCCGGCATGCCTATAGGCTTACCACGACATGTTCTTAGAACACAAACATGTTCTAAGAACGAGAACAATGTTCTTAGAACATAAACCGGATGTGTTAAGTCAAAACAATCTGAGCCAGAAATGCTCTAAGACAATTATCGTGCTGATCACGAAAGGTTTTTAGAACATTCTTGGGTGGGCCTATGGGCGAGCCAGGACGATTCGCCACTGCTTGACAGGAGCGAGGGACTCACGCGCAACCCATCAACGGCTCAGCAGCCAGCAAGCCCGATCTCATCGACACCTGCTGGAATTGGAAGCCGCGACCCTCCCCCTAAGGGGCAAGCTCGCTGTCTCTGCCACCGCCGCCGGCGACTTGAGTCTGCGCTTCAGGATTGAGCGCTCGATTTAGGTCGGGCATGTCCTCCTACAGGCGAATCTTCGTACGCAAAAGTAGTCAAAAGAGTTCGAAAATCGCCCCACTCGATTTTTTTTACCATTCTCGAATCTTCCTCCTGTAGAGAGGCATGCCCGACTTAACCCTAGGGGCGAGCTCGCTGTCATTGCCACCGTCGCCGGCGACTTGAGCCTGCGCTCCAGTACCGAGCGCTCGATGGTCTTCGCCCTCGTGCGCGAAACAGCCGTGCGCCGAGGACCCGCCGTCACGCGCGTCCAGGAGCCGCACCGGCTCGCGATCCCGCTGGCGCCTCCGGCGCCCCGGGGCCACGTGCGCCCAGCACCTCGAGGCGCCGCAGTGCCCGGTGCTGCCGCCTCTCGGTGCAGCCCCGCTGCCTGGCCCCCCTCCTCCTCCTCCTCCTCCTCCTCCTCCTCCTCCTCCTCCTCCTCCTCCTCCTCCTCCTCCTCCTCCTCCTGGGCCAGACACCATCGCCAGTGCTGGTCCGGATGCCGCGCTCGTGCTGGCCGCGCCCTAGCCCGGCCGCGGATGGGATCGCATGACTGGCGGGTGCATGGCGCCACTTCTGAGCCAGATCGGGCGCGCGCCGAGGCGCCAGACGTTACGCCACCAGCACCCCAGTCAAGCGCACCTGGCGCTCAGTTGCGCAACCCGCCGCGACGGTTCTTCGAAGCCGCGAGCGTCGAGAGTTCCAATCCAGCTCGTCGCACAAAGAAGCATCGCGCCGATGTTGTCCGCAGATCTCGGTGCGCTTCTCAACGACTCCAGGCTCGCCGACGGCGCGTATTACCACCTCCTGAGAACAGATGGGAGTACGAGCTCATCTCTGGCACCCACCCGCAACGCGCGACGTCGCTGAAGTGCAGGAGCCGCAGTTTGGCACGCGGCAGAATCACCTCGGGGCAACAGTCTTTCGGCAGCAGGGACACCTCCAAGGTGCGGCCCTCTCTGCTTCTCTCACCCCTGTTGGAGCATGGGCAACTCGCTGTCGCTCCCGCGGCTCACCTCCGCGCCATGGGTTAAGGCTGGCCTGGTCCTTGGGCGGTAAGCCTGCCATGTGTCCCAATCCTGCCCGCCGGGAAGCACTCCCCGACCTTCGACGGCCTCCTCAGTCGACGGGCCACGCTGGTTCAGGAAGACGAGCGACGACGACTTCGACGACCACTGCGACGGCAAGCGACGAAGGGCGACAACGACAACACCGACGACGACGACTCCGCACTCCACTAGAGCCCTCCTATACACGGCGTCCAAGGGGTCGGAGGATATCGCCGAATCGGCGACGCATCGGCGATGATGTATCGGCGACGTCCGCGTGGGGAAAATCGGGCTCGACATCGAGCCGCATCGGCGAGGCATCGCGCAGCGCCGATGTGGCGCGATCCTCCGGCCCCAGCTGCTCGGACCCCACTCCAGGAGGCCCGGGCCCACGCCGCTGCCCGCGCCGCCAGAGGCCCGCCGCAAGGCCGCCCAAAGGGTGGCCCGAGGGTCCCCAGCAGAGGAATCAACAACGGCATTAGCATCGATTTTTGACGGTCCGCGCGGATTTCTTGGCTCTGCGCTGAGCCTCCCTCTCTGGCGCGCGGAGCGCGCCAAGGGCGGCGCCAGGGGCGGCGCCGGAGGCGCCGCCAGGGGGCCCTGGCGCAGATCCAAGAAATCCGCGCGGAGATCCAACAGTTTATGTGTTTATGTCGCTTGTTCCTCTTCGAATGCCGCTGCCCGCGCCGCAAAAGGCCGCTGCATGGCCGCCCGAAGTAGACAAGCACGTTCCACTACCCGCAGAGTAACTACTCGCGAAAGGTCTGAATCCGCAATGGAGGATTTACGATACATTCCATCGATGCTGACATGTGTTTTTCGGACGTTTGCGAGTAGGCACTTTGCGAGAAGTGCAACGCGCTCGGTGACGAAGGGTGGCCGACGGCCCCCGGGGCTGCCAGAGGCCGCCGAAGGCGCCGCAGAGAGGGCCTCCGCGGCGGCACTCTTCATGGAGAGCGCCAGGAGCCCCGTTCCTGGCTCCGGCTCCACGTCCAGCAGGCGGACGCGCACCTCTGCTGCGGGGGAGGGGGAGGAGGAGGAGGAGGAGGAGGAGGAGGAGGAGGAGGAGGAGGAGGAGGAGGAGGAGGAGGATTTGGATTGCGCTCTGATTCGCCGAGGAGACGGTCAGCTTAGTGCGGCACTCACTAGCTGCTGCAACAGTGCGTACATGCAGCACGGGCGCCAAGGTTTGGTGAATCTCCCCGCCCCCGTCCTGTCCTACCCCCCC